GACCGGCGTTCGTCATCCTACTGCATTTAAAGACTCCAACTCCGTCGGAAGCCGTGCTGAAGAAGACTCCAATTCTGATGCCCAGCACTCCGACATGTTCATTCCTGAGGCCGAAATGTCTTCTGACATTCATGTCGTTTCCGCTCAGGCGGAGGTGATTTTTCTGGGGCAGCTGAGACACCCTCATTTAGGGAAGCTGATAGGTTATTGCTGTGAAGATGAAGAGAGAATTCTGGTCTATGAATTCATGCCCCAGCTTTCCAAAGTTTTAAAACCTTCGCCGCTTCCGCCTGTGACCGATGCTATTTGTTCCTTCCTTCCGATGACCTCGCCTTTCGGATCAGCTGGTTCCTCAATCATGGTCGGAGATGGAGAGGTTGTGCCTTCAGCTAGAGCAACACCGCCCTCTGCATCGGTTGAGAACAAATCCTTATCTAGAAGGGTAGTGAGAGAGGAGATCAAAGACTTGGTTTCGAGACCTGCTATTTGCAAAGGAAATCCTGACAGCAGCAGTGTCAATATTAATAATAGCGTCTTTTACTGGGATCCGTTGGCTTCTGGAAATGATAACACCGGTCTCTCACTATGTTTTTCTCAGGCAGGACGCTGTAACGCGAACATCATGACGAGATCCATTCCTGCAAATGCTATCGCTAATCTCGCTATGTCCGCCAAGGGTGCGAGGACGTACGCCCCACAGTTGCCATTGGGCAGTAATATGAACTCTCAGGGGATGAGAGGTGGAGGATTCGTGGATATCAGAATGTCCGCGGAGCATGGTTCCGAAGCCGACTGCACCGCAAATCCTCCCAATCAGCTACCTTCATCTTCAACATCTTCATTTGGAAGTGCTCTGTCCTCGTCCTTCTCATCTAGTTCAGCGCCATTTACCCAGTCTGTCTTGCCATCAACTGCCACGGATGCGACCTTTTTCTTTGCTCTAAACTTACTACATGCTAATTCTTTTGTGAGTTTTATATCCCTGCCCTCTTTTGGCTTTGCAGAATTCGTAACTTCAACAGATGTGGAAATACCATGTTTAAATGGTGCTGAAAGGGTTGATCCAACATCATGCTCACGTAATGCTCGACGTAATGTCGCTACTGTCTTCGAGCAGTTGGTTATTGACGATTTCAGTGCTGATTTTGTCGAGGGAGATCGATTCACAGTTCAAATTCTTCATCTACTAGAAAGCATAAATCAAGAGCAGCATCCTGAGTTATTCAAAACATGTGAAACTGCATCTTTGTCTAGAAATGATATCCTTGCTAGAGGCATGAAGGGAGCAGTCAAGCAATGCATTGAGGTCTTTGAGCTCATGGAGAAAGAAAAATTAGAGCCCAAGGAAATTACACTTGTTTTTGCCCTCCGTGGGTACAGCATTGCGGGATTGGCTGATAGAGGACTTGATTTGATGAAAAGTAATTATGGAATTGAGTATTGGTCTAAGAATTACGGCTACATGGTGGACTTGTATGACAAAGCTGGGAGACTCAACAGCGTGAGGAATCCTATACGAGAGGACGCTTACCAATCCATTGGGGACTACAAAGCAATGGACAATCTAGTAATGAGCTTTGAGGACTTCCAAGAAAATATTGAGAACAAAGTTTTCGATCCAGGAATTGTTTTCCACCTTACCTCCCTTCTAAGTAACGAGCCTCGAACGGAGTCGAGTTTTTTTTACGCAAGGGGAGAATGATGCGGAGCACTTTAGCCTAAAATGATCCTTAGGATATCTTACAAAGAACCTTCTAGTTTTCTCTAGTTTCCTACCTAAAGTATTATATATTTTGTGATGTAAGAAGAAAAGAGGCATTGAATGATATATTTTAGTCTTTGAAGCTTGAAAAGCTTTCTTCTTCTTCTTCCCTGGATTGGGAATTTTCAAATCCTTCTTGCAGGTATCGACTTCCGCCGATCCACTACATCAATGTGTCACATCATCACTTATTCTAAATCAAGCTCGGTACTGCTCAATACTGAGCTCGGTACTGGATAACGTGGTTGCACATGATTCATCTCTGAACGGTAAGCTGTATTTGGTGTCCGAATCCAATAATTTCCCTTATTCGAGAGGGCTTTTTTCGTGCTTTTTAAAGAAGATTTTTATGCTAAAAACTTTTTTAACTAAAATATTATTTTAAAAAACAAAAAAGAAAACTATCCCAAATAAAATCTTAGTCTCTATCTAAAGGTTGTTGAATTCTTGTTTGTTTGAAAGAAGATATTGAGTCAAAAAAAAAGTAAAAAAGGATAGAATTATATTATCTTGAATTAAATAATATGTTGATGCAATAATATTTATATATTTAATTTAATTATAATTTGAATAATTAAAATTTAGTTATAATTAAATTTAATATATAATATATAACAATTTTAACATTAATTTGAATAAGCATCGAATAAAGTTCATATACAGTCGATACATTTGTCTTAAAACTTATAAAATAGTTAAAACATATTCAAACACAAGCAAAACTATGTTTAACCATTTCATCAAAGATAATTTGATATTGATTGATAAAATAATCAAGCATATATTCTATAGAGTGTTCAATCTTGTTCGAGTAAGAAGTTTAAGTTATTATTAAAAAAATTTATAAAAAAATTGAAACTTATTCAAACCTTATGTCCGACCCTTTCATCAATCATGTTAAATTATTATCGAACCTATTGACCTTTTTATTTAAGATAATGTGATAAGATCGACGACGTAATCAGTGTAGAGTAACTTGTATTTAAATATGTTCAAATAAAGTGCCTAAACTATATTTTTTTAAAAAAATTAATATTTAGTCAAATACTTAATCAAACATATATTTGATCCTTCAATAGAAGATAATCTTATGATAGATGAAAGGGTTGAACACATGGTAGATTTTTTATTTGAACAAGATCAAATAAGGTGCTTAAAATATATTAATAAAAAATATATACAATAGTTAACACTTCAACACTTAATCAAACCAATGTTAGACCCTTTCTTGATGATAATTTACCGATTAATGAAATGATAGAAGATAGGGTCGATTAATTGGTTAAACACGATCAATAATGTGTTTATTCAAAAAAATTATAATCTAAATTGCATTTATTCGAACACTTAATCAAACCTACGTACATCATTTTCATCAAATATAAATATTTGACGTGACTGATGGAAGAGTCGAACATAGAATAGTTTTAATTATTCGAATATGGTCGAATAAGGTGCTTATATGATAAATATTTTGCAATGACACTTTAAGTACTATTGAAAGAAACATAGACGCTAAATATAATAAAAAAATAAAGATGATCAAACAAAATATTTATGAGATAGTACAATCATAGCAATTATAACACTACACTTCTATAAATTGATTTATACATTAGAAATAAATGTATGCACCAAATATAATGGTAAAATAACATTCTAATATAGATGCATGGATAAATATTTTGTGAAAAAAATCAACATGTGATCAGATATAACATCCAATAGATTCATTTTTAAAATTAGACATATCATTTGTTGTAAATATAGTTCACAATTATCATTCTAAATAAAATGTAAATGGCTCATCAATCAAAATATATAAAAAACTATTTTAATTTTGATTACTAGTTATTGAATTAATAGATGATTTATCTTAAGATAACATTTGAAAACTCCTATGTAGCAAAAAAATTATGATGAAAGTGATACTTGTCAATAGTCAAAATAATTTCGCTATGCAAATAACTTAGAGAAGCACTTGTAGAATGGATTCATCTTTGCTTGCCAATTTTATATCATGGTGCACCTTCATGAATTTTGTTGACATTGAGGTCTCATATATTATCTAATAAACATTATTTCGATTCAATAGAAAAATACATGAACTTTGCATCATGCATGCCATGGCTTTAGAAACTTACCATCTTTCCTAATGGTATACATGGTACGTAGTATATTCACACCACTTGAAAGATTCATTCCTTATTATTTCATTGAACATTACAATTATTGTTCTGCATTAGTAATCAAATATTTTATTCAACAAAATTATGCCTCAACCACTGGTTTTTGAAAAACATTTTATTTTCTCCCTTATTAGGAAATATACATAATCAATATGCTAAAAATTTGAAACTAAAGCTAGTTTAATGAAATAATTTCTCACACTTTAAATGAAGAAAAATATTTCTTACCTTACTATCTAATCATGTTGTTAGAGTATTTGACTATTTAAATCACTCTTCATTTTGAATGCCCACTCCTATTTCTTTTTGCTCAGAGTTGTCAACCTCATACGATGCCAAAATGCTACTTTATCCTCTCGTATTAAGATGAGAGGAAATTACTTGTAGATAGTTGCAAATCCACTATCTCCCTTACTCTCTTATCATAAATAGTCGTGCTTGATTTCTTCTAATTTTAATTATGAAAGACTAAGTGAGAATATGAATAATAGGCCAAATAGAAATCCTTCTTATTAACTTTAAATTGTAGCTTGAGATTAAAAACTTCCAAATAGAAAATAAGGAAGAGAAAATTTTAGCACCTTGTATACATCTCCTCATAAGTTCTTTATATTCTTATATTATGAAAAAAAACACTTCTGTCTTTATGATCATGAGCTATGAAAAAAATATTTTGCTTGTGAGAACTTTGTTAGTCTTTCAACTCAACATCCTTAGCATTCCATTCCAAAGGAACTCCACACATATGTTTCCCAAGGTTAGATAAGTCCAATAATATGGCAATAATGCAAATACAATCATAGTGCACTAGTCAAAGGCAATCTTCCCCACTACATATGCTCCATATATAGTGCACATTATCCCTTAAACCCTCATAAAATTGTCTCCCAAGACATCTTACTCCAAGGGCATCTAAAATATCCATCATCATATTTGACCATGAGAATCAATTTAGTGATGGCCACACTATAAATGTCATGAATACATGAAAACCATCAACAAAAAAGCAAAATAGAAGCTTCTATAAATTATCTTTGTTAGTGCATTTCATAAAAGCATTTTCAAATATTGCAATTTTAAAATTCTTATCCCCATCCAAGTAGTGGTTAAAAAAGAATGCTACTTCATGCCATCCTTTCAAAATCAACATCATATGAAAACTCTTAAAAATTTAAGCCATTCACTAAAACAAGTCATGTGATCCCGAGGGTTGTTTTCTTCCATCATATGTTAAGCACAATGGAGTTCTCACCATTCTTTTTATCATTAGCCTTACATAATATTAATTGAAGAATTTAGAGACCAAAGAATTTTATTCTAGGAGCTTTGAAGAATGGCTCAAAGGGATATCACTTAGTTTAAGCAGTAAAGTCGATCATTAGCCTAAAATAATTATAATTGAAGAATTTATGGACCAAAGAATTTTATTCTAGAAGCTTTGAAGAATGGCTCAAAGGGATATCACTTAGTCTAAGAAGTAAAGTCATTAGCCTCAAATTTTATAACTTGTTTTTCCATAACTCGTCCTTTCGTAGCTTTATATACAACCCACACCAAGTAATACCTATGAACAAATAAGATTAGCTTAAACATCTGCATATATAGTTGAACAACTCAAATGAATCAATTTATTAATATTCAAATAAACTTTGACATATTTTAGCCAGTTTGAAGTTATTTGAACTTTACTAGAACCCTTGATCAAAATTATATGTACAACCCTTAATCAATCCTTCAAACTTCAAAGAGGGTTGAACAGTACAATTTCAAGCAACGAGTTCAAATAAGACTGACATTCATCAGTTTTTTTTTTTTAAATGATCAAATGTCTTTAGCTTATGCTTCAAAGATAGTTGAGATTATCTGTTGGTGATATAATCATCATTATTATTGCTTATGATTATAAGTTGGCTTTAGATGATAATTTGCACATAATTACTATGGAGTTTAACATTTAAAGTGTGAAGCTTATTTTTAACTCAAAAAGATAAACAAAAAATATTACTAACCATCAAATACGTCTATTAGATTTCTCGGTGATCAACAATAATATAAGTAATCATCACTATCGTCGCTCGACTTCTACCATCGTACTATTATTTTATGTATACTAATATTGAGCTCCATCAACTATCCTATTGTTGATGCTCAACTTCTATAATCCTTAATTATAAGAGAATAAGATAATTATTTTTAATTATATGTTTCCATTTTTTTTAACTCTGAAGAAGAGATAATTTTTGTATTTTATTACAATTAAATGAGGCCGTAATTTTTTTTTCTTATTATTATTCTTATTAATTCATCAGGCAGTGCCTTTTATTATTTATAGCAATACCATACAACCATAATATAGCCACAGGATAGCGTGTTTTGCTTATTTCATCCACCCCGCGTACTGCATCCAGACTGCTGCCAGCTAACACATCCCGGTGACAAGATAAGTGCGAAGAAGATAGCTAGGAAGTCTCCAATGTCCTCACAGCGCGTTTTAGACTCCTATAAAGGCCCTTCACCCTCACTTCCGACCTCTTCATCCAAATTAACCAGCCCCGCCCCCAGCCCCTTATTTGATTTGCATCCCCTCCTCCGCCTTCTAATTGAAGCTTCATATGATGACTACCTCTTCAATGGTCAATTCGCTTCTGCTTCCAATATTTGCGTGCGCTTTGCTTGTTGCTACGCTCTCCGCCGCCGCCGCAGGAAGCTTCAACAATGACTTCGACATTACTTGGGGCGACGGTCGAGCGAAAATACTCAATAACGGGCAGCTGTTGACTCTTTCTCTGGACAAGGCTTCAGGCTCGGGCTTCCAGTCCAAGAGCGAGTATCTCTTCGGCAAGATTGACATGCAGCTCAAGCTTGTCCCCGGCAATTCCGCAGGCACCGTCACCGCCTACTATGTAAGTAACATTCTCACGCCGTTAGCTCCATTAAGAGCTCGGAATTCATTGAACTGATGGTGTCTACTGCTTCGTCTGCAGCTATCGTCTCAGGGGCCGACACATGATGAGATCGATTTCGAGTTCCTTGGGAACCTTAGCGGCGACCCTTACACGTTGCACACCAACGTGTTCACGCAGGGGAAGGGCAATCGGGAGATGCAGTTCAAGCTCTGGTTCGATCCCACCAAGGATTTCCACACCTACTCTGTTATCTGGAATCCCCAGCAAATTATGTAAGCCAACAAAACTAGCGCTTTTTAATTATCACTTATCTGATATGAGAAAAGATGCTAACTTTGATAAATGCATGCGCAGATTCATGGTGGACGGGACGCCCATAAGGGTATTCAGGAATTTGGAGACGAGAGGGGTTTCATTCCCAAAGAGTCAGGCCATGAGGATCTACTCCAGCCTCTGGAACGCCGACGACTGGGCCACCCGTGGAGGGCTCATCAAGACGGATTGGAACAACGCGCCATTTACAGCTTCTTACCAAGGCTTCAACGCCGACGCCTGCGTTTGGATCGGCGGCGGATCAAGATGCAGTGGGGCTGGAACTTGGATGGATTACGAGATGGATGTGACGAGCCAGAAGAGGATGTCGTCGGTGCAGAGTAATTACATGATCTACAACTACTGTACCGATCGCAAACGATTCCCACAAGGGTTGCCAACTGAGTGCACCATCAACTGAGAAGTGTGAAGTTAAATAGCTGCTTTGTATTATAGATAATTCTTTTATTCTTAAATTTGTATTGAGATTCTTTGATCGCGTCAGAGTCTATTTTTTTCCCTAAATTATTAATAAATTATAATCTTTTTTTTTATGTTTATGAAATTGCACGCATTCCAACCTTTTGTTGTTTTTTATAATTGCATTGTGGTCCATATCCTCTGTTACGTCTGTTTAATCTCGGATGTTAGGTTGAATTCGTCCTTTTAGAAGGAATTGAGTTTAAAATAATAAAAATAATAAAAATAAAAAAATTAAAGGGATTTGAAAAGATATATTGGCAATTGAAAGTAGGGGGTCAATAAATGACCCAATCCAGCAACCTAATTTGAATTGAAAATTTTGGATTCAAATTGACCCATTTAATAAATGGATTAGCTTCAAATTGACTTGCCTATAACACTTTTTGAATCAGGATAAAATGTCAAATGTTATGACTCGATTATAAAAATTTAAACTATTGAATTTATATAAATGGAAAATATTTACATGTGCATGAAAATATTTTGTATGAAAGTGAACATAAGAATATTCTCTGAAGCGGGTCTTGAAGTTCTGTGTGTATGTTTGTGTAATCTGAAAATTTTTCCTCTGAGGCGCTGCATTGCTAGGGTAAGCGGTGCTGTGACGTTGAGCTCTCTGAAATTTTACAAATTAATTCATGTTGCGGCATTCAGGGTGGCACTGTGAATTCATTAAAATCCTCCAAAATTAATTAAAAACGGGTCAAACCGGGTCGATTTCGGGTTTCCGGGTCAACCCGAACCCGACCCGGTTTTACAAACGGGTCGAAATCTCTAACCCGAACCCGACCCGGTTCGGGTTCGGGTTGACCCGAACCCGAAATTTTCGGGTCGGGTTTTCGGGTCGGGTCCAATATTGACAGGTCTAACTATAGCCCTTATTCACATAAGGGAATAAAACATGTATGATTTTAATATAAAGATAAGAGCAATAAGCATGATTTGATCCTCTATAGTTAAAGAGCTCCAAACGTAAAAGATTATGAATAGGGAGAGACATAAGGATTGTCATATAGAGCTTCCTGATTAATAAATTACTTCAAAATATTTACCTTGAGGAATGGTAAGGATATTATATGGAGTAAAAGCTTTATCATGAAATAGTGCATGGTTTCAAATAGGGGGGTGGGGTGGGGGTCAATATATGACCCAATCCATCAACTTAATTTGAATTGAAAAATTCGGATTCAGATTGACCCATTTAATAAATGGATTAGCTTCAAATTGACTTGCCTATAACATTTTTTGAGTTAGGATAAAATGTCAAATGTTATGACTCGATCATAAAAATTTAAACTATTGAATTTCTATAAATGGAAAATATTTACATGTGCGTGAAAATATTTTGTATGAAAGTGAATGTAAGAATGTTCTCTGAAGCGGGTCTTGGGGGCCTGTGTGTGACGCCCCAGGCATCCATAGTGAAAGGATTCGTCTGACATTCTGATCGAACTCCATTCCAGTTGCCTTGCTCGGACCTGAAATTGTTAACCACATATAATGAGCTTTACAAAGCCCAGCAGGTCAGGTTTTACACTGTGTGTATGTTTGTGTAATCTGAAAATTTTTCCTTTGAGATGCTGCATTGCTAGGGTAAGCAATAATGTGGCGTTGAGCTCTCTGAAATTTTACAAAATTAATTCATGTTGCGGCATTCAGGGTGGCACTGTGACTAGCTTGTGTGATTGGGCGAAGCGGTGCTTAGCTAAAATTTTTATTAGAATAAAATTTTCCATTAAACCAAGCCATTTCACCCAATCACATCAGCTAGCTACAGAGAGAGAAAGAGGAGGAATTTTAGAGAGAGAAAATAAGTATGGGTCACTTTAGGTCATTTTCTACCGACAAATTAGTTCTAGAAGTTGTCTAACTCGAGATAGTTTGTATTGTGTTTATTTCAGTTTTTAACAATTCTACGATGTTTAGATTTTCCATATTTAAAATATAAATTTATGGCTTTCAAACTGAGTAAATTTTTAGACATGGAAATTTTAACCGGATAATTTTTTGATAGATTACAGATAACGTTTTTCTAAAAATTTAGGTATTTTTCTATAAGATTTCGATTGGATATTTTTTAAACTGATTTTCTAAAATTATAGGAAAACATCTTTACATTGAAAAATAATATTGTAAAATAATTAAACCTTCGAAATATCGTTTTGCATAGGGTAGTCAATATATGACATAAAAAAGTTTGATTAAAAAAATACTAGGTATGGGTTAACCCGTTTAATAAATGGGTTGGATGGTGGTTTTTTATTTTTGTCTTTATTAAAATATAAGGTTGGGCTCAGGTTAACCCACAAACTCCAACACAACCCGTTTGACCCATCCGCCACTTGTTCATTCGGACAGTCAATCTTATCTCACCAATCACACTCGCACTCACGATTGCTGCTCGCAGTCACACTCGCCCTTGCCCTCTCTCGATTCCTTGCTAGTTCGCACTAGCTCGCTCGCTCACACTTGTCCATCACACTCAACTAGATTAGCAGGTCAAGTTCTTGTCAAACCTTTTAAGAATGAGTCAATTTTGAATTTGACCTGAACTCAATATGAAACAAGTTTTGACACTCTTAATTCTTCACAATGTCTAATAATTTGATAAAATTTTGAGTATGTAAATTTTAACTACACTGTATTGAGTGGCTGCTTAAATGTTGTCAATTGGGAAAATAGTCCAATTTATGTTTGACTGGTTAACTACAATGTTATAAGGCCTAATTGATGTACTGTGCATCTTTGTATGATATTATGTTTATATCTAAGAAGTTCAAGGGGAGTTCTATTATATATCTACATAGTTCTGTTTAAAAAATTTTGAATATGCTGAGAGTACTGAATTGGCCGAGGGCCAGGAGTTTTGAATGGGAGGCATAAGGGTCTGAAGTTTCGAATTAGAGATATAACAGTTGGAGTTTTGTACATTTTTTTCTGCATTGTATGTTTATTTATATTCCATTTAGCATACTTTACATTCTATTAAACATACTATGCTCTAAATTATGTAACTTACTTAGTTATCTGGAACACCTTATATTGTTCTAACACCACTCTACTGTTATAAGTTTTCGATTGAGCTTGGAATAACTTCTTTTTTATGTTTTTTGTTTTGTAATTATTAAGAAATAATTTGGATAATATAATCTACTGAGTTGTATTAGGTCATTATATATTATGCAATTTATTTCAATATAGAGCAAGGGAAAATGGCATGTTGAGTTACTAACATTGATTTTTTTGAGTTGAGTGGTGTATATGTACATTTTCTATTTTTTAGGGTTTAGATTTTTTTAACAGTTCTCGCACTTCTATATTTCTTGTCCCGTGTCTATTTATTGCGAGGGATTATATATTAAAAAGTGCATACTATATTTTCTTATGAATTTTATTAATTTTAGTTCATATGCATTTTACATGCAATATTAGTATTATACATTGAACTGAACATTGAGTGTGCTATTAGATATTTATTATTTTATATATATTATGAAATGTTTGTATGCAAGAAAGGGTAGCAAGAAATGATTGATTGATTCAAGTTGGCTGAATATATATTATCACATACAGAAGGGTCGGCTTATGGGCTTTACTTTAAAATAAAATTTGTGGTGTAATCCCAAATGCTATGAAAAGGGAGACATAAAAAGATAGATTGAAGTGATATGATACACTAATGGGCATGAAGTTATGACTTTTGATATGAAAGTAATATGACCTAAATGACTTCTGATAATGACTAATTCTTGTATAGTGGTCACACAGGACTAGATACAGAAAAAATATCACACATAGTTAGATGTATTTTCTTATTTACAATACATGTATATGCATGATAACATAATTGATATGACATAATTTACATAAGATATATGCTATGACTAATACAAATATTGATAATACTCATAAAACTAATATAAATATTTGTTATATATGAATCACATGATTTACATGATGCATAACATAAACATTTTACGAAATGCATATAATAATGATATGTACTCATGTCTTAATATGTTATATAAATAGGGGTGTCAAAATCGGGTTTCGAGTCGAACCCGGAACTGACCCGGGTTCAAACGGGTCGACCCTAACCCGACCTGAAACTCGGACCCGGACATGATCCGTCGGGTTACCAGGTTGAGCCGACCCGACAAAATTACATATCCGAGCGCGGACGCGGGCTGTAACTAGCAGGCGCGGGACTTGGGCGCATAGGCGGGCGGGCAGATGCGGACGCATATTGGATGCAAACGCGTAGGCAGGCGCGGGGACTCGGGCGCGCAGCCAGGCGTTGGGATGCGGGCGCACAGGCGAGCGCTCGGACGCTAGCACTCAGGTGGGCACTCGGACGCTGGCGCTCAGGAGGGAGAGGGGGGGGGGACACTGGCATGCAGGCGGGCGCGCAGACGAGGGCGAGTAGGGTAACTCATTGTAAACGGGTTTTGTAATATCAAAATCTGCTCCATGATCGTCCAGGACGACCAGATCGTCCTGGGACGATCAGTTGAGAATCTGTTCCAGAATTTGCCCAGATTTGCTCCAGGTGTTTTTCTGTAAGCATCGTCCAGGAGCTATTAATTATATATCTGATATCTGATATCTGTTTGTTCTAATATGTTCCTGATTTTATATATGTCTGTTTCTGTTCCGATCTGATTTTGATTTGATATGTCCGTATCTGTTCTGATTTGATCTGTTTTGTTATGAACTGTCCGATTATGATTTCTGTACGAAGATTCCGATATCTGTCTAATTCTGTTTTGGTTTCTGATTTGAATTTGGGTCTGATGTGTTTGGTTTTGGAATCTGAGAATTTTGATTGGAGGTTTGTTGCTTTGCTGAGCTGTTGAGCTCACTCTCGTTTTCTGGTGGTTTTCAGGTTCTGGGAAAGGGAACGAAGTCCAGGACTAGAGTTCAGAGTCCGATCTGTGATAGGTACTTTTGTACTTTTGATTTTTGTACGGTCATGGCTTTTCTTCTGTATTTCTTCTGTTAGCCATGTACCGTATTTGTAGATGATTGTTTTGAGGAAAAGAAAGAAAAATATAGATGATTTGTTCCGCTGCATTTGATGATTCATAGTAGCTCTGGTCTGTTCTGTGTGTTGGTGTTTGAGTTGAAATAATTTGAAAGATTTAGTTCAATAAGCAAATTCCAAAGCCAGATCCTGGTCAGTCAGTCTGTTCGTTCCGTGTCGCGACCCGGTGCGAGCGGGATCCGTCCCGGATCGGGTCGGGCCGTGACAGGTTTCCTGATTGACCCGACAACCTTTCGGGTCAACCCAAACCCGACCCGTTTTTCAAACTGGTCGAATACGGGAACTCAAATCTAACTCGTTTTTCAAACAGGTCGAATAAGAGAACCCAAACCTGAGGTCAGGTCCAACCCGAAATTTCTGGTTCGGGTCATATTTTCATGTCGTGTCAAATATTGACACCCCTATATAAATTATTTTGGAACTACTGAGTGTAAGATTAATAGGGCTTACTGATCACTTTCAACTATGTTGATCAATGCTCTTAAAATATATAGTTGTATTAATATTTATGGATCATATAGCATGTTACTATTTCATTTATTGTTACATATTTTTATAATTATATATTTATACTAATAGCGATTGAATGATTACATGAATATTGTTCATATTTTTTCTGCTGGGCAAGAAAAGCAATACATCTCAAGTTAATGAAAGAATTGGCACATCTTTAAGAACCACTTGCAGCATTATCGCAGCTCCTCTTTATAAGGCCTTGCAGCTTCTTTTAAATTTTGGTCATTCTGGATGAGTTTACGCCCTTTGCTCCTTAGATGGTCTTGTTCCTTCTCACTTCTCAGGCAACCAAGATCAATCTTCTTTTTGACACATCTATGATTTGACGGGTTTTTGGCTGTTGTCTGAGTACAGCATCTTTTTTATTTTAATTTCTTTAGTTCTTAAATTTTTTTTTTTTTTTTAATGTTTTCTCCTGTGATTTTTTTCCCTGCGTTTAGATTTTAGAATCTTGAGCATTGCTAGTTGTGTTTTGAGCTCCATAGGGCTTCTTCAAACGAACGTCAAATATGTTTATGGCGCCGTTCGGTTGATCTAGCCGAACGTCAAATCTTCCTATTTTTGCTTGTGGGTGAACAATGCGACGCTGATATTGACGTGTCACTGCTCACCTACGCTATTTTTCTGTTTCAACCGGATTTGACGAAAAAACACGCGAAAGAGGAGAAAGACGGATACCTTCCCAGAAGCGTGCAAAATGGAGTTCGATTGGAGAAGAATCACGGCATTTTTTAGTTTCACTGCATTTTGGAGCGAAAAATGAAATTTTCGGTTGGAGATGCCCTTAGCGAACAAACTATTATACCGAGTTGTATGCTTTATAATATAATTTTATTTTTATGAAATAAAAGTTTTGCTTGTCCCGTAATTTTGCTAAAAAAAAAATCATAAAAAAATAATGATACTCCAACCAAGTTAAAAGTGGTCAAATCATTGCTCCACTAATAATTTCTTCAACTATTTGCATTAGTGATCTTAAATATCAAATGCTTAAACAAAAACTATTCTTAGATATAGTTGGAATAAGTTTTGATCATTATTTTTTATTATTTTTAAGTTATTTTATGCTATATTTTTAAGTTATTTTATGCTATATTTTATGCTATAGTTGGAATAAGTTTAATTATTTTTAAGTTTTGATCTTAAAAAAATTATCTTAAACGAAACTTAAGCTTATATTTTACAAAATATCATGATATAATACAATATCAATTCAAATTCAACAGGTATTAATTCGATATAATGCAAAAAAAAAGTGTTTTTTTTTAATAATTGTAACAATATCATATGATCACAATATAGCCATTGTATACTGTGTGCAACTTAATTCATCAATGCCGTGTTCTGTATCCAGACTGATGCCAGCTAAGAAGAGCCGATGAGTGGGAAGAAACTAGCTGGAAATCACTACCTTTATTCCTACCTTCACCCTCCACGTTTTCTTCATTTTCTAAGCCTCCTATAAAAGCCCTTCGGCCTCAGCTCCCATATCCACACCCAAATTCGTAAAACAGCGATCATAATTAATTGCTATCTCCTCTCCATTAAGCTTCACGATGACTAGCTCCGCAATGGCCAATGCACTGCTTCTTCCTATACTGGCCTGCACTCTGCTTGCAGCGACGGTCTCCACTGCCGCCGCAGGGAACTTCAACAATGACATCGACATCACTTGGGGCAACGGCCGTGCCAAGGTCCTGAATAAAGGGCAGCTGCTGACCCTTTCCCTCGACAGGGCTTCAGGCTCCGGCTTCCAGTCCAAGAGCGAGTACCTCTTCGGCAAGATTGACATGCAACTCAAGCTCGTCCCTGGCAATTCCGCCGGCACCGTCACCGCCTACTATGTAAGTAACATTCTCACGCCGGTAACTCTATCATGTGAAAGCTCGGAATTCATTAAACTAATGAGGTTTACTACTGCTTCACCTGCAGCTATCGTCTCAGGGGCCGACACACGATGAGATCGATTTCGAGTTCCTTGGGAACCTTAGCGGCGACCCTTACACGTTGCACACCAACGTGTTCACGCAGGGGAAGGGCAATCGGGAGATGCAGTTCAAGCTCTGGTTCGATCCCACCAAGGATTTCCACACCTACTCTGTTATCTGGAATCCCCAACAAATTATGTAAGCCGTCAAAAACTAGAGCTTTTAATAATCACTTATCAAATATGAGAAAAGATGCTAACTTTGATAAATGCATGCGCAGATTCATGGTGGATGGGACGCCCATAAGGGTTTTCAGAAATCTGGAGACGAAAGGGGTGGCGTTCCCAAAGAGTCAGGCCATGAGAATCTACTCCAGCCTCTGGAACGCTGACGATTGGGCTACCCGTGGAGGCCTCATCAAGACGGACTGGAAAAATGCGCCATTTATCGCTTCTTACCGTAGCTTTAACGCCGACGCTTGCGTGTGGGTCGCCGGCAGATCAAGATGCCCGGCAGCTAGGAAGATGGGTGGTGGTGGGGCTGGAACGTGGATGGATTACCAGATGGATGTGACGAACCAGAAGAGGATGTTGTGGGTGCAGAGTAATTACATGATCTATAACTACTGCGCCGATCGCAAGCGATTCCCCCAAGGCTTGCCTACTGAGTGCACTGTCAATTAAAAACTGTGAATTATAAGATGAAATTAAAAATATCCACTTTGTATTATAGTTAATTCTTTAATTCTTAAATTTGTAATAAGATATGATGGTTTGTTCTTTAGTCTATATCTCGTTGATTTTGTTAGAGACAGCAATTTCCTTTTTTTTTTTCCAAAATTATTATAAATCATACTACATATCATATTTATGAAATTGCATGCCAACTTTTCATTATCTTTTTAAATGTCTTAATTTTTATTGGCGTTCAGCTCGGCCTATATTATCAGTCGAATGTGTAAGGTGATCAGAGGCACCTGAATCCAAAAGACCAGTCAGGATTGATGGGCTCATTTGCGGCTACCATAGTATGTGATGCTGATGAATTAGGTGGTTGCGATTTCGGAGGATTGTAGCTTGTGTTAAGACTGCATGTCCCAGCAATTGTGCGCCGAATATTCTCTTTTATTACAAATTTGACAAGAGATGGCATTGGATGAAGCTGGTCTTGTTGATTAAGGAGTAGATCGACCATGCCCCCTATGTCCTCTTCCTCTTGATGAAAATAAGGCAGTGGAAGGATCTACAAGCTACACCTGCTTGATCGATTCAGCTTGGATATTGATCTCTTCACTTATTAGAAGAGAGTATAAGTCATCAAAGTTTATTGGATGAAACTTTGTTTGGATGGATATGTTGAAAGCTTGATATGAGGATAGAAGACCATTCAATATATACAGTACAATATCTTCCTGATCAACCATCAATCCCGCGGCTGCTATGTTGTCAACAATGGACTTGATGTTCATAAGATACTGAGACATTGTGAGATTCTTCATTTGAATATTGTGAAGCTCATTTTTAAGTTGTATAACTCTTGATTAGTTCAATGATTGAAGTCTACACTCAATTGTTGTCCAGATGGCCAAACAAGACTCAAGATGTATCACATATGAAAGAATCACCGAAGAAAGAGTCAAACATATGGCTGCTGCTAGATTTTGATCAATAAGAATCCATTCATTGTATTTAAATTAATCTCAGTAGTCCCATCTTGTAGTTGACAAAGACGAGGTGATGGGGAAACTGAAGGAGAATAAAAGTAACAAACCCATTGGCATTCAGAAGTTTAAGAATTTGCAATTTCCAGACGATAGAATTCTCTGGAGATAATTGAGTGGGAACAATGATTATGATATTGGAGATAACGAACTGAAGTGATGCCGGAATGTTGTAGTGATCATCGAATGATTACTTGCATTGTCTGCGATGAAGAAGAGTGCGCCATGACGGGAAAAGAAAAAGAACAAGAAAACAAGAAAGACTAGAGTAGACCTGCTCTGATACCATGAAGATAGATAAGGCGGGAAAGAAAACAAGAAATGAGCACAGGAATGTTGCTTGTATTCAATGTCTCAACATACCACTATAGTGAAATATTTATAGACAACAAAGACGAATAGAAGCTATACACGTGTAATCATTGACTAGGATAATTTTGTTACAGGTAACAAGAGGTAAAGTTATGTATCTGTAATTACATATCATCAATTGTTTTAGCTTAGTCTCAGGGACGTCGAACAGAAGTGCGTTAACATGAGATCAAGCAGAATGGGAAGAACTGGAAGAATGAGTCCTACAGAGAAGTTGCCTGCATCAATGAGACCGGACAATCACCGGTGACGAGCTGCCACACAGAGAAAAGACTGTTCTGCTGCGAAGCCGGGAACGACTGCCCCGGAACGGAACCTCTGGTTACGTTGCCAACGCAGAACACCTGAATTTCCGTTCTTTTCCACGGACTTCCGACGAGGGCCGAATCCACGAACCACCGAGCTCCTGTGTCCTCACCACCTGCGAATACAAACAGGATACAGAGAAACAAAACAGAAAACTCACAAGAGACAAATTCTCATTAACAATCAATCCAAAAATCTGCATTATTCTTTCAGCCAAAACTATTTATAGTTACAGGCATACAGGATTATTTATAGGCTATACAGAGACCGCCTAATTGGCTATACGTTTTATACAGAGGGAGTTTGCTCTGTAGCTCCTGCGTCATCCAACCGGGGTGGGGAAGACTCCTCTATATCATAGTGAGGAGTGAGATCAGCCACATTAAACACAGCTGACACGTTATAATCTCCAGGTAGATCGATCTGATAGGCGTTGTCGTTGATCTTTTTAAGGATTCGAAAAGGACCATCCGCCTTGGGTTTGAGCTTTCCAAAAGGTCCCGGAGGAAACCTTTCCTTCCTCAACCGGATCCATACCAGATCCCCTTCTTTGAATTGTACAAATTTTCGGTGTTTATTAGCCTGTCTTTGATACTTAGCATTTTGTCTTGCAATCTCTTCCTGTACCTGTTTATGCAAGTTCTTTATCTCCACACTCCTTTGTTCTCCATCGGTGCTGTATGCAGATACATTTGCTATAGGAATAAGGTCAATTGGAGAGAGTGGATTATGGCCATACACGATTTCAAAGGGGCTTCGGCCGGTAGTGTGATTGATCGACCGATTGAACGCAAATTCGACTTGAGCTAATATCAAATCCCACTGCCGCACGTTTTTGCCCACAAAACACCTGAGCAGATTTCCCAAACTTCGGTTGATAGTTTCAGTTTGCCCATCCGTTTGAGGGTGAGCGACGGAACTGAATTGCAACCGCGTACCTAGCTTTCCCCATAGGGTCTTCCAGAAGTGGCTTAGGAACTTTACATCTCGATCTGAAGTAATGGTTTTAGGAATACCATGCAACCGAACAATTTCTCTAAAATATAGGTCCCCAATATGAGTGGCGTCGAGTGTCTTATTGCAGGCTACAAAATGTGCCATCTTAGAGAATCGGTCAACAACGACCATGATCGAATCTTTATTTCTCTGAGTGTGAGGTAAACCCAACACAAAATCCATACTGACGTCTTCCCACGGTCCGCTAGGGACAGGCAGGGGCAAGTATAAACCGGCATTGGTGCCCGGCGTCTTGGCTCTTTTACAAATTCTGCATCCTCGCACATAACGATTCACATCCTTATGTATTGCTGGCCAATAAAATTTTTCTTTGATCAGGGACAATGTTTTATCGCGTCCGAAATGACCTGCCATTCCACTATCATGGCATTCGGAGATTAACACCAATCGGATTGAACCTCTGGGAATACACAGACAAGTGCGAAAGAACAGAAAACCATCCTTAATGTGATACTGGAGGTGTGAGCTGTCTTGGCATAGTTTCCAAACACCTTGAAAATCAACGTCAGTAGCATACATTTCCTTTATATTTTCAAACCCAATTACCTTACTTTGGAGTACCTGCAACAGAACATGTCTCCGGCTCAAAGCATCAGCCACCTGATTAAGTTTTCCAGATTTGTGTTTTAATACAAATTGGAAAGCTGCTAAAGATTCTGACCACGTAGCGTGTCGGCCGCGAAGCTTTTTCTGACTGTCAAGGAACTTCAAGGCGGCATGGTCAGTGAAAAGAACAAACTCTCGGCATAATAGGTAGTGGCTCCAATGATGTAAGGCGCGAACAATGGCATAAAACTCCTTATCGTAAGTGGAGTATTTTTGCCTTGCTTCATTTAGCTTCTCGCTAAAGTATGCCACCGGCTGACCTTCCTGACTTAAGACGGCACCGATTCCTACATTGGAGGCGTCGCAATCAACTTGAAATACATTGTGGAAATCAGGAAGTCGAAGGACGGGCGCAGTCGTCATTTTTTCTTTAAGTTGTTCAAAACTGTTTTGAGCGGTTTTTGTCCAGCAAAAACTGTCACTTTTGAGTAATTCGGTCATCGGCGCTGCCACTGTACTGAAATTAGCTATGAATCGCCTATAAAAAGACGCCAAGCCATGAAATCGCCTAACATCAGTGAGAGAGTGCGGGACGGGCCAGCTCACAATTGCCGTAACTTTTTCTGGATCCACCTCAATCCCGTTGGCTGATAAGACAAAACCCAAAAATTGGATTTTATGGTTGAGGAACTGGCATTTCTTTGGATGGCAATACAATGTCTGCTGCCTAAGGATCTCCATGACTTGCCGCAAGTGTTGGAGATGAGACCGAAAATCGGGGCTATAGACCAGAATATCGTCAAAGTATACGATAACGAATTTGCCCAGATAAGATTGAAAAATCTGATTCATTAAGCGCATAAATGTACTCGGAGCGTTGGACAGCCCAAAAGGCATTACCATCCATTCAAACAATCCGTCCCTTACCTTGAAAGCGGTCTTCCATTCATCACCTTCTCGTACCCGAATCTGATGATACCCGCTTCGTAAGTCTATCTTAGAGAATAAGACAGCTCCTTGAAGCTGATCGAAGAGGTCGTCTATGCGTGGCATGGGAAATCGGTAACGGATGGTGATTTTGTTCACTGCCCGGCTATCGATACACATCCGATAGGTTCCATCTTTCTTTGGCACCAGTAGGGCGGGCACAGCACAAGGGCTGACGCTAGGACGAATGAACCCTTTTGCTAGCAAGTCTTCTATCTGCCTCCTCAATTCCTCATGCTCGTCGGGGCGAAGCCGGTACGGGGGCCTGTTGGGCAATGTGGCCCCGGGAATGAGATCCATGGCATGCTGTATGTCTCGAAGAGGTGGCAGACCAACCGGAAGTTCCTCTACCCATACGTCCTGAAAGTCTTGCAGTAACTGTTGAATCTCTGGCTGCGGAGGAGTGTCTCCATTAATAACTTCCTTTATTAACAATAGGTAACAATGCTGAACGTCTTGGATAGCCAGTTGGCAAGCCTTTTTATTGATCAGGAATTGATCGTTTGACGGACCCTCTTGCCCCACAGCCAACGGTAGTAATACAATGGTTTCACCATTCTGAACCAACGTGTATGTATTGGCTACTCCATCATGGATGGTCCCTCTATCGAACTGCCAAGGCCGTCCTAGCAGTAAATGACAAGCATCCATGGGTAACACGTCACACCATACTTGATCTTTAAATTTGCCGATAGAAAATGGAACTAAACAGCGTCTGGAGACTTCTACCGCATTCTCTGATTGGATCCATGATAATTTATATGGTTTGGGATGTGCTTCGGTGGACAGTTGTAGCTTCTCCACCAAGGTGCAGGAAGCAATGTTTTCACAACTGCCGCT